AGCCATCTGTTGGCTTTTTCACTGAGCACCCTTCTCTTGAAAGGACTGTAAAGCATTTGTTGTGCGCCTGGATATACACGTCTATTGATCTGTTAGAGAGCCCATCATATTTCATTCTGACTGATGCTTTTAAAAAAACCAAACCTTTTGCAGAAGTTGTGCTTTAACCACTTGAGTCCCAAGGCCTTTTTCTTCCATAATCCCGAGTCTCAGAGCGTGTTTTTCATTTCGGAGATGCCTCCATTCCACGCCTTACCCCTTTTAGGCTACATTATGCACTTTGCACTATGCAATTTAGGATTCCTATGGCTGGAAACTATGGATTCTTGTGGCAGGAATCCGACATCTCCCATTTAGATGCAGCCGCTGTCACCCGTTCATGTTTATGGCAGGGTGACAGCTGTTGCATCTGTATGTGGTACTCCGCATGTAAATTATACGGTTGCATGTGATTTGGAATGGATCATTGCCCCTCAACTCATCTATCCTGTTTCGAGGGACAGTGATCTATGCCAACTGCATGTAATTGTATCACGTATGATTACATGTGGACTGCCACCTACAGATACGGCTGCTGTCACCCAGTCAACGAGTGACAGCGGCTGCCTCTAAACAGGAGATTTGGGATTCCTGGATCCATAGGTTCCTGCTGCAGGAATCCCAAATTGCATAGTGTGACTGAGCCCTTAGAGTTTGTGGTCTACCCTTACATATTGCATATTTTCAGGACTGATATTGCTTTAATTGATCTATTTTCTATTCTGATACTAAACCACATAGCTGTAATTTTTAAGTAACGACCTGGAATGGCGATTCAAAGGGAACGTTTACATTTGAAGAACTTTATTTCCCCTATTGACACTACATTGCGATGCAAGCAGGGAAACCATATGGGTTTGTGTTAGTTGTTAGCATAGCTTTAAGATCAAGTTGGATTGGTGTGGGCATAATTTAGCATAACACCGACTTTTTGAAAGGCTTACAATTGCTGAAAATCTGTATGACATTGTTTTTATGTACTGACATTTAAAAACCACATGTGCTGTTTTCTTTCAATTCAGGCAAGATTAATGAGGGAATTCAGGGATCATCTTGGAGTTCCATACTCCCACTTTTGATTTTAAAAAAAATCTAAAATCAAAGACTGCTATGACACATTTCCCAGCTGATTATTGACATCAGCTCATATGAGAAAATCATTTGGCAGCTGATGCCTCTAGTGGTAGCATTGTGTACTGCATTTGGCAGTGCTCAGTGCTGAACTTCAATGACACCTCCGAGGTTTAGTGAACTACTGCACCCTGAGCTATGTCAGCCATAAACCAAACTACCAGGGTGCCATCTTCACTATTTATAAGTCATATTTAATGTGGAAAAAATAGACGGAAATACAGCAATTTATGTAATGGAAGGAAAGTAAAGGTATTTTCTGTGTCATTCTCCTGCTGACATGGACAGAATATGATTATGATGTACTTGAATGCATTAACCGCCGATGTACAGGAAAAAATATTGTTCACTTATGGTCATATATTATTAGCTTCTGCGCAAACACACTAAAAATGTTTCATCAGTGAGGCAGGAATATTTGTGAATTCTGCTCATTTACAGGGAAAATCTCCAATCACAATGTGTACCAACTATGAGGGAGCTAATCTCGTGTTTGGTGGCCATTTAAAATCACATTAAAGTAGACCTGTTGTCACCAGGCACATTTTATCATTGTAAGTGCATCCAAGCTAATATGTAGTTGTAACCCTCGCAGTATGTTACTTCTCAGAGAACATAGCATTTCCCCCTGACAATGCCTTCATCTGCTTTTCTCTTCAGAAGGCAAGGTCATCCCTGTATTAAGGCAGCCTGAGGCTTTTGCATCAGGAGGCATCTCTTTGGGTCATGTGGGGGGGGGGGGGGGGTAGGGGGTAGCAAGCAGAACTTGGCATGGATCCCACTCTGCACCTGGCATCCAGTGAAGACACTGGTTGCCAGATAATGCAAAGGCTATACCTCCACCTCCAGTCCAGTGCCCCCCACCCCCTTATAGCATGCACCACTAGCAACCTCCCTACCCCCCGCTGCCTCAGGCAAAGGCTAGGGATGCCCCTATCAGAAGACACTACCAAAAATCTGCATCTGCTTCCAGAACTGAGATGCTGGCTCGTAGATGGCACCGTTGTATTAATCCTGGTGCTTGTGCAGTTCTTAGCTTTGTTCACAAATGTCTTACACATATCAACTCTTTGCTACTGCCTCTCATCTTGTTAAGATGGCCACACACCTATAGATTATCTGAGATTTTCCATGGTTAGATGAAAAAGGTGCAACAGATTCCACCATCTACGCTAAACTGTGTGGATGGAGAAATCTCACGCTGGGCCAAGCTTCAGTATCTTGCTAGTTGGCTCCGCTTGCTCTCAAAACACCTGAACAATGCCTGCATCCAATCAGATTGTTCAGGTCTTTTGATAGCTAGCGGGGCTGACTAGCAAGATACTGAAGCTTGGCCCAGTGGGAGATTCCTTCATCCACATATTTTAGCATAGATGGAGAATCTGTTGCACCTTTTCCATCTGACCATAGAAAATCTGCACATAAACTATAAGTATATGGCCAGCTTTACAAAGATACAATGTTGCAGTGGAATAATAAATGGTAAAGGAGACCAACAGACCTCATTCACACCTGAGCATTTTGGCAAGTGAATTCCAAAAGGGCAAAAACACTTAGCATGAAGAAACCCATTGTTCTCAATGGGCCAATGCACACCTGAACGTTGTGTTTGTTGTAGCTTGAAAAAGTACATCAGCTTCTTTTTGGGGCAGAATCCTGCATTTTTGGCCACATAGACTTCAAAGTAGAGCTTATGGTGCTTAATTACCACCAAAAGAAAGCTCTATCTCACTAAAAAATTTATGTGGTTAGAATTGTCCATGACAAAGTAATACTCAGTCAAACCATCACAGCGCTGAAAACTATAAAATGTCCTGATTATGAAGAGGGTGCAACATGTCGGTACTGAAGTGGTTAATGTTGTTTTTTAGGAGTTACTGTACACTGTAACTGCCAGAAAATCATGAATACAGACTTGTAAAGTTACTGACAGGTCCACTTTAACATTATGCTGTTCCTGGTTGAACCCAGAGCCAGGAAACACATGCATGCTTTAAACACATATATAATAAGATTAGAAATCGGGAGTACAAACAGATGCATATCATCAGGTAATATGGGGGGGAAAAAAAGATTAAGTTATGATTAGATCAGTGCTTGCATGTGGTTGTCTTCCTACCAAGATGTGCCATCCAGCAAGATGGCAGCCAAATAGCTGAGTGATTCTGTTATTCTGTAGTCCTGCCAAACCAACATATTGCCGTGTGTGTCAGTCCCATTACTTTTATGTTTGTATTGCAGAAATAAGAACATGATGTTCTTTGATAATCCCCACAGTAGTCTGTATATTTGAACCAATTAAAGTGTACCTGTCCTTTTGACACAGCAAGGGTTGTCATTTTGTTTGCAGAAAGAATACGTATGCTTTTAATTCTCCAGGAAGGAGATTCATTAATGTTAGAGTGATGTCAAAAGTGCCTAATACATTGTGTTAAACTCCTTCCACTATCTGGGTTATTTCGTAAGGCACTAAAAAGAGTAATGAGGATGCACAGAGACTCATAACAACCTATCAGGTAGTGCCCACTTTACTATAAACACTCAACTCACTAAGGGGTCAATTTATAAATCTTCCACCCAGCTATACGTCAGGTGAGAGCCATTTACACAGCATTCTCGCCACTAGAGGGAGCTGAGGAGCATAGGAAATGCCTATGCTCCTTTACTCCATTGGACCTAAACACCAAATGCTGGGCGAATTCCATTTGCACAGCATTTCTATGCTCCTCAGTTCCATCTAGTGGTGAGAATGCCATTTGCATGGCATTCACTCAGCATAATGCTGGGTGGAAGATTTATAAATTGCCCCCTAAAGTGTATCTTAGGGCAAAAAATATGCAGTACATCTCTGCAATGCGTACAGGTTTCGTGATATAGGGTTTCTTTAAAAACACAGCAGACCTGTGTGAATTTTACCCTGCTGGACTACGGATCACCTCTCCTCTTATGTTATGGAGGTTAGGAGAGGAGAACATGGTCTGTATTCCATGCAGAGGAGAACTGGGCAAGGCTGACAACACTGCCTGGGATTTCTGTGCAGCAGAGGCAGGGTTGTCAGCTCACAGCAGGAAGTTAGGAGCCCAGTAGATTTTTGGCAGGATCATCTGCCATACATTCTTCTGAGTATTCTAACTCTTACTGCCTTCAAAACACATACTGTATATGTAGTGTATATATATATATATATATATATTTATGTATATATAACATAAGTGAGTTATTTTTAAAGCAGATATGGAGTTTATTAAATAAATTAACTTTCAAGTGAACCCCTAAGTAAAACAAAATAACAAAATTATCAGCAGCAGCCGGCACCATAAAATGTCAGGAAACATCTACTGATGTAGACAATCTCACCCAGTGCCGTCTGGAGTCTCCCTAGAGACATAGCTCTCCAATCAGAAGAGATCAAATGCTTTTCTGATTGCAAAGCTATAGGTCTGACTCAGAAGGGGACATGTTGCACCTCTGCAGAGAGACCACTGCTTCCTCACAGAGAGCAAGGCTCCTTCTCTGCAGCATGTTGACAGGGGACAGGCATGTCTACTCAGGCTGTGGCTACTTTCTAAAGAAAAGTACTGTAAGACTTTGCACAACTTTTGTTTTCATGCACCAGGAAGGCATTTAGCTGATTTGAACTAAAAGTTTAATTGGGCTTTAATAAAAATCAATGCATTAACAGCACAGGTAAATTGCATGTCAAAGCAAAGAGACAAAATGCATGCACAGACAAAATTTAAATATAAAATCAGGCCTATGATGTCAGATAGTAATAAAGATAGCTTGACTTAGTTGACAGCAGGAATTAATCAAAAAATTCCAAAACATACCCTTCCAACTAGTATGGGTTCAGGGCCAGAGAACTCTTCCAGAACAAACATTTGATTCCACACCCAGCCTCTCTTGGATCGGTTCAAAACTTTTTGCTCATCGTTGATTCCACTAAGTTCCAAGGTGGCATCGGTGGTGAGTACATGGGAATCATCCCTCGGAGCCATATATACATGAGGAAGTACAGCAATCCATAATATGATTAATGGAGTCCAAACATCCATGAATGTTTCCCCCAGTCTTTCTGGCATTTTAACACGGGTTAAAGGGAGCGCGGACAACATGAAACAAATGTTCTTGCTCACATCCAGATTGCAGCCATCCAATTCATCATGCGGCGAGAGATATTTACTTGCAGCTGATCCGCGGCTTTATTGCTCAATAAACATAAGCACAAATAGTTCACGAATGAAGGACATGACGAGTCTGGAATATCGCTCATTGATGTTTCCCTTAAAAAGGAAAAATAGAGAGAAGTGAGGAACTTGTACAGCAGGACATACTATGTTGTTCACAGTTAACAGTAATTGTAAGGTCAAATTTTGAAGGTGTTTGTATCACAAGAGGAGAGAGAGGAAAACAAAAATCACAAAGAAATGTCACCAATAGGGTCTAGAATGTTACATATGTGACAGTTTACATTACTTTAGTGTTCATAAATATTCATAAACGTGCTTTATTTCACTATTATTTTAAAAAGTAACTTTTCTTGAAGTGTACCTCGCAATAGAAAAATGAAAAAATCTTTAAAAAATTAATATAGCATAAACAAATTGTTGCAAAAGCCATTCTGTAATTTATTGTTATTGAAATTACCTTTCAATTTAAAACTGTAGCTGTGGTAATGTTTTAAATCTGTCAAAAAATGCAATGCAATCTCCGTATGGAATGTATGGAGTGTAACTATGTACAGAGTTCCATAGACAGTTGGTGAACAAACCCAGAAATGTCACTTCCTGCTTCTGTGATTGGCTGACTAGTTTTCCCAGAAGTCTGCCCTAAGATACAAGTACAATTTTTGGCATCCCTAGTAATAGGAATTACATTTTTGGTGAGATTCTTCCTAAGGCCTTATTCACACGACTAACAGCCGGCCCATACAGATCCATGCTGCGTGTACGGCCGTATCGGGCCACTCCTGGGAAGGACAGGTGCTGCATGTGATTTGTATGCAGCAGCCTGTTCTTCTTTGTGGGAGTACGCGGCCATACACCACCGTATGCTCACCTGAACTGCGCGTTCGTGCGGGTGCTAGTGTCCCTGCTTGGACGCAGACAGGATCCATCCTGTCAGTGTACTAGTACAGACACCCACACAGACGTGCAGTTCGGGTGAGTACACAGCGGCATTCTCCCGTAGAGAAGAACAGGCTGCTGCGTGTAATCACACACAGCACCTGTTCTTCCCAGGAGCTGCCCGATACGGCCGTGCATGCAGCACAGATCTGTACAGGCCGGCTGTTACTGGCGTGAATGAGGGCTAAGGGTTAATTACTATTAAAGGGATGCTGACACTGCAACTTTCATCATTACAAGACACAGAAAGTCCACCAGCTGATTATAATGAACCCAGACCTTCCATTCAGGGATCAATTTGGAAAGGACATGCTGCAACAAACAGCTTTTTCTTCAGACAGAAACAGGTAGGAAACTGCAACAAAGTTTGTCCCAATCCTTGTAATGTACACAGACCACCCAGAGAGGATTGATTTTTTTTTTTCTCAACAAAAGTGGAATTACTCTATAAGCAATACCAATAAACATGTCAAACCAGTGAACTCAGCTATCCAACAAATGCTGCAACAGTGCCAACGATAGAAAGGTCACCCCAATAAATGCCTAATTCCAGCCTCTCCTCCCCATCCCTTAGTGTTTCCCCTTCCTGCCCTAGAGCATGGGTGAGGTTTGGGTTGGCAGCTGCCATAGGTTTATGGTTAATCCCCAAAATTCACAAAGCTCACAAATCCCAAACTATTGGCCAAAAAAATGTTCAGGTTCCCCTACAGAAATAACAAACAATCAAGCTATTGCTCCCGGTCAGCTGAGACACAAGAGATCAATAATATCAAGAAATTATTACCGATTCGCTTTCTATAAAAGGATGAACTCACAGAAGCCATATTGTCATTGTGTATTGTAGCCCCTAGAGAGAGTTGAAAATTCTTTGTTACCAGGATTTTTTTTTTCTGGGGGCATTGGTACATTTCCTCCATGGCTACCCATGTAGTGGTTGGACAGTAGCTTGCTTACTAACCCTATTGATCCCTAAAAACACATCTGTTCAGGGATGCCACCTCCACCTAAAACCTGTACTCAGATCAAATTATCCCCACACTTGCTATTACCTTTTCATCACTTGCCTTTCCCTTTTTTAGATTGTAAGCTCTCAAGAGCAAGGTCCTCCTATTGTATTGTAACTGCACTGTCATCCTATATTTTGTAAAGAAATGCACAACATTTTGGATATATGTGTATGTATATATATATATATATACACATAACACTCTGCACTCACAGCATGCTGTTGGGCGTCATTCATCACAGAGGACATGTTGTTTTAGGGAAGAGATACTACAAGGGACAGCGCCAGAGAGCCACATGAAAAGAAGAACCTTATGGACATCAGTTGGTTACCAAGGCAGATGTTGCAATTATTTGGCAAAAAAAAAGCTGATCTCAGTGTTTCATGCCCTGGTGTGGATGCCAATCAGATTTTTGGAACAGTCAAAATTGTATTATAGTAATTACAAATACATGTCCTATTCCAGAATAGGTTTTCCATGTAGACCTAATGATCATTATACGGTATACTCCAAGCCTGTACCTTATCTTTTTTTTTTTTTTGTTTACCACTTATTGTTCCATGATTACAAAGCTGCTTTGTCTTTTGAGAAGACACAAAGCTCCCAATTTCTGTTTAGGGAAATCAGGTGCTTATGTGCTTGTGCAAGCATGCTCCAAGCTTACGCATGCATATTGCTGACAAATATATTCTTCTATAGAACATTGGGGAGAAGACAAAGAAGACAACTACACGTAAGAGGCAGGGTTTTATTAAAACTCATGCAGAACTTTACCGCCTTGCAGCGGCAATGACAATATTTGCAAGTTAATGTTCTATTGGCATCTACTGGTAAGACATAATTTAACTATGACTTAGGCAAGAGTGCAACTGAGTAGCTATTTTATGGAATTTATTGCTAAGCTACTTTTTCAGGAGTCTGAAGGCCAATGAATGTCAAATGACTTCTCACCAAGTGTAAGACTTGTGTACACTTGTATGTGACCCTCCCATAGTGATGGAATTCTCCGGAACCTATCTACCTTACCTTCCAAGGTAAAGATGCATTGTTTGGAAGTTAACTCCTACATTGTCTAAATGTTGCAAGCGGTGGTTGAATTATTGTATTACTTGCAAATGTTGGGTAAGATATTAACCACACTCCCAGAATATGATAGACCAGGGGTCCTAAAGCTACGGCCCGCCGGCCACATCCGACCCGCCAGGGTCCTTGCCATAGGCATCAGGGCTGGTTTAACGTAGGGACTAAGGGAGCAGCAGCAACAACATATAGCAATCAATCAATCGGCCGGCCGCCGGCGGGGCCCGGGGAGAGATTGGCATTCTCCCGGCCCCGCCTGGGTGTCGGGGAAGTGACACAGGCCGTTCCGGAAGCCTGACAGCTTCTGTGTTCGACCTGCGCGACTGCACCCTTTCTATTCAGGGTGCACACCAAGGCATGGGTCATACGGAAGCCTGGAAAATCAAATGCCAGGCTTCCTTTAGCAGCATAACACTAGTGCGGCTGCGCCCCTCCAACTTTGGGCGCATGCCAGCAAAGCTCCTGGAGGGTGGCCAACAAGAAGAGAGCTGGGATATGACGTGATATAATCTCCTGCCTCTCCCAAAGCTGGACGCTGCCGTCGAGAGGTAAGACTATGATCCGGCCCCCAACAATGTCTGAGGGACAGTGAACTGGGCCCATGTTTAAGAAGTTTGAGGACTGTGATAGACCCACTAGTATATTTATCTCTGATTCATCAAGGCACAATATGAATGAATGCATGCAAGATAGCGTATAGGGCATGCTTCAATGACATACAATATTATTTGTATGAGGCCACTACAGAATGACTTAAGCACGCTTTAAGGTGGCTTAGGTGCTACTTCACGCTTGATGAATTAGGACCATATCTGCTATCCACATCTGATGCTTGGCCAATGCCACATTTGCATTAGCATCATTAAAGACAAAATCTTTATCATTGTGATTAAATTGATATTTTAGGAGGGTACAACAAAATTGCCACCTTCATACATATCTTTGGCCTATGTGGTTTTTTTTTTATTACCAAAGGGCACAATTATCTGTATAAGCCTTGCTTAGAAAAAGGACAGAATGTGGGGCTCAAATAGATAAGCACCAAAATAATGTGTTTTGTGTATGTAACTTATGTCTGTTGCCTGCCACCTGGTGTGTAAGTCGGGCATTGAGCTGTTTTTCCTGAGGGTCAAAATTATCTGAGCTCAGTCACCAGATTTATGTTAACACTGGGCACATGTACAAAGCCTTAAAGTGCAATCCCACCTTTAGACACACAAACCCCACTTTGAATCACAATCACATCAATTCATAAAATCAAACAGCTTTTAAACCACACCTGTGCTTATCTCTTCTCTGAAAACTGGCATTTATCTTAAGCTGGCCATACTGAATTTCACCTTTTTCTTGCTGAATTAGCCAAAATTCCATCTGTGGGTTGCCCCACCAGCACTACCACGCTCGGCAAAAGCACATTTTTTAATTAACTTTTGTCAGAGGAGCCAATTGGAAAATTGTTGGCTGAATATTGACTGCAGCCAATTAGCTTTAGTTGCTGTTTAGTTGCAAGCGCCGTCTGCCAGAATACGATAGCCAGCAATGGAGATTTCACCATTCACGCACTTTATTGTGAATGGGGGAATCAAGTAATTTCTCTTATTCACCCGGAGGAGGTAAACGAGAGAAAAATCTTAAAGTGTATTTCCACTTTTGCAGCAAAATTGGGTTTACACCTATTTTATATTTGTTACATGTTCCCATTAATATTACATAATTAAAAAAAATATTACAAGATTTATTTTCACCAAGCTGCCACCCGTACAGTATGTAACGTTACAAAGGGGGCTGTGTGATGTTTAATGTAATTAACCCTGCCTGTTCTGTGCTGACAGATATAATTATCAGTTGTAAACTCGATTTGAACACTGCCTGTCCTAACCAAGGGTTAAATACTTAGAGACATTGTAGGTTATTCAGAGAAAGCTCAGTCTGTCCCTCAGTTTGTCTCTATACTTCAGCTTTTAAACTGCTTAGAATAGCCTGGAATCTACACAAAGGCCTTCACCAAAGTAATATCTAAAAGAGGAATAAGACTGTTTTTATACTGTGTGAACAGGAACACATAACAAA